GGAGCGCAAGTGTCGAAATTTTGAGCATGTTGCTTTTTCTACCTAGTAGAATTTCTCCGTATGTCATGCGTTCGCCATAGATATTTCGTATTTGTCATCGGATACCCATGCTAATGGCATGTACTGAAAACGCCTATATACCTGCACCAGAACTGCTGCTCCAAAAAAATGTCAACTATCGCGCAGAGAGCTCTTTAAGACCATTCCGTATCGCAGTCGCAGGTTGCCGCAGTTGCAATGGCTCAACAGTCGAAATAAGTAATACCTGTATATTCAAGAAACACCCTCTCCTGTACAACTACTGCCCACTATGCCGGTCACCATCTCACACAAATGCATGAGAAACAGCTCAGATCCTGATTTGCATGGAACCAAACGGTCACTCATCGCTTCTACCACACCAACTTAGACAAAGACTACGGCATCCAAAAAATACCCTCAAGATAATTGGGAAAAACCAACACTTCTTCGAATCCCAAACTAAATGCAGTTCGACAACACAAAAGCAGATTCCTACATATACAGCATCAAAACTAAATCTTCATTCCTATCCACAGAGTAAAAACACCGATCCTGCCAGTTCCTCCCTACCCGATTCCATCAGCACAGCAGATTCTTATTCAACGTTGAAATGAAGCTTCTTTCACTTCACAAACCATGTAGTAGCCAAAATCTTGAGGCTCCATATCCAAACTACATTCCCCTTATATATAAAAACCTTCCACTTCAATCCTTCCAATAAATAACAAAATTCGACTTTACCATCAAATTTTCACCTCCCGTACACATATACCGATGTCGACCAAATCTAACAACATACCCGTGAACCGTTCTCCGTCTGACAACATAATTTCTGAGCATCACATCTCCTTTGTCACTGCGAAACAGTCTCTATTTCACAAAAAACTACGAACGATATCCACAATCGATCGTAAAAGCGACTTCCCAGTTAAGATTCACACCCACCCTCCATACATATCCAACTGCGCATATCTGCGAGCATGGAGGAGAACATTCCTTCGTGTGAGGATATCTGTGTATAGGTGAAAATGTTGAATGCGATTTCGAATTAATTGCTCTGTGTGATGGTATAATTTAGGATGAAGGATTTTAGGATATAGTAATAGATAGGATAAGAGAAAATTTCATTGTTGATATTCGCTACATTTTATGTATTTCTCATTTGGTTCGATCCGTACATACACTTTCGTGTGTGTATTTGGTTTTGGAATGTGAGTTAGATGGAGATGGATGATTAGTCAGGATGAATATACTTGTGAAGGTGAAGATGCGACGTGTAATAATGGTCGGTCTGATCGCGACGGTATGGAATGGAAGTACATGGTCTGTGCACGTATGATAGTTTGTTATCACGATTGTGTAAGAGATTATGCGGGCATATGTGCTTTCAGTTGGACGTGTTGAAACTAATTTCATTCATTTACTATTTCGGTTTGGTGAAGCTGGTTGCTCTTCTCTCTGTCGGAAGTCGCTCGGCATTCGCGTTGAATCGTCCTCTCTGAAATTAAAAAGTGTAATACTGTTTTGGATAAATTCCACTCATTGCAGTATAAGTTTTCAAAGTTGAGAAATGATGCGATTGACGAAATCAGTGGAGATGAATTCGAGGTTTAGATAGAATGTAGCATTTTTTTCTAATTGATTTCCTTTTCGTTCTGATTTGGTATGGGTCCATATGTTTCGAAAGTCTCAAACTATGATACGCAAATTATTACAGACAATTGGTGTGATGCGGCTAAATTGCTTAAACAGATAACAGCTGTGATCAATGAAAAAGTTCGCAATGGAGTTCATAAACTTGTGAGCATACTCGCTGTTCACAATACCGTTATGCTCATTAATATGCTACTGCTTTCACGAATGGTTGTTGCTATCGTTATCTGGTGTTTATTTCAACATTATCGAAGTACAGCTGTAGAGATAGGTGTCGTGGACGAACCACCGGCTTATTCGATCGATACTCCAGCATCGGCTAAAAATTCTCCAGAAAAAAATGAAGATGGATATAAAGTCTAATATCCTCGATGACATCGCGTGAAATGACATTTTTCTCTTGTTTGTGCAAGCATTTCAATAGATTCATAGTCAGATTGTAGCTAGATGTACTGAGCATTGTTTCATTCCCTCGACCGAAAGGAGGGTCATGTCGAAAAAAGTGGCCCAAAAATCGAAATTCGTTTGTGAGTATGTCTGTCGCAGGTCAAAGGTCAAATTACATTTTTTTTGAAAATGTTCAAAACTTCATAAAACATGGTTTCGAAGGGTGTTTTGACACTGAAAGTTGGTTGAGAGGGTGAGGACATGTGAGATAGGGTCGATGTTAAACGTACGTTGAGCCCTGAGGTCAACGGCCCATAAGAGAATTTCATTATGAGTAGAACAAAGATTAGGTAAAAGTTTTTCATAACTCCAAATGTGCAAGGAAATGTATCATACANGAGAACATTCCTTCGTGTGAGGATATCTGTGTATAGGTGAAAATGTTGAATGCGATTTCGAATTAATTGCTCTGTGTGATGGTATAATTTTGGATGGAGGATTTTAGGATATAATAATAGATAGGATAAGAGAAAATTTCATTGTTGATATTCGCTACATTTTATTTATTTTTCATTTGGTGCGATCCGTACATACTCTTTCGTGTGATTATTTGGCTTTGGAACGTCAGTCAGATGGAGTTGGATGATTAGTTAGGATGAATATACTTGTGAAGGTGAAGATGCGACGCGTAATAATGGTCGGTCTGATCGCGACGGTATGACATGGAAGCAAATGATCTGTGCACGTATTATAGATTGTTATCACGATTGTGTTTGAAACTAATTTCATTCATTTACTATTTCGGTTTGGTGAAGCTGGTTGCTCGTCTCTCTGTCGGAAGTCGCTCGGTATTCGTGTTGAATCGTCCTCCCTGAAATTAAAAAGTGTAACACTGTTTTGGATAAATTCCATTCTTTGTAGTATAAGTTTTCAAAGTTGAGAAATGATGTGATTGACGAAATTCGTGGAGATGAATTCGAGATTTAGATAGAATGTAGCATTTTTTCTAATTGATTTCCTTTTCGTTTTGATTTAGTATGGGTCCATATGTTTCGAAAGTCTCAAACTATGATACGCAAATTATTACATACAATTGGTGTGATGCGGCTAAATTGCTTAAACAGATAACAGCTGTGATCAATGAAAAAGTTCGTAATGGAGTTCATAAACTTGTGAGCATACTTGCTGTTCACAATACAGTTATGCTCATTAATATACTACTGCTTTTACTAATGATTGTTGCTATCGTTATCTGGTGTTTATTTCAACATTGTCGAAGTACAGCTGTAGAGATAGGTGTCGTGGACGAACCACCGACTTATTCGATCGATACTCCAGCATCGACTAAAAAGTCTCTCGAGAAAAATAAAGATGGATATAAAGTCTAATATCCTCGATGACATCGCGTGAAATGACATTTTTCTCTTGTTTGTGCATGCATTCCAATAGATTCATAGTTAGATTGTAGCTAGATATACTGAGCATTGTTTCATTCCCTCGACTGAAAGGAGGGTCATGTCGAAAAAAGTGGTCCAAAAATCGAAATTCGTTTGTGAGTATGTCTGTCGCAGATCAAAGGTCAAATTACATTTTTCTTGAAAATGTTGAAAACTTCATAAAACATGGTTTCGAAGGGTGTCTTGACACTGAAAGTTGGTTGAGAGGGTGAGGACATGTGAGATAGGGTCGATGTTAAACGTACGTTGAGCTCTGAGGTCAACGGCCCATAAGAGAATTTCATTATGAGTGAAACAAAGATTAGGTAAAAGTTTTTCATAACTTCAAATGTGCAAGGAAATGTATCATACATCGAAACTGAAAGATTCGTTCTGAGAATGTGATGTAACTTGTATTTGTGATAGTAGGAGAATTTCCTTCGAAACACAAGTCCAAAATACAATTCTGATTTTTTTGCTTCTGTTGGTGTGACTATAGAAAAGAGACGGCGAAGAATCTTGTATAAATTATTGTTAGTATTCGTTTTTGCTAGCGTACCAAATCACAAATTGGACACCAGAAGAGGAGGTGTCTCACACTCAAGTATAATAATGCAGAGANAGTACTGTTGGCTTTTTATACATTGAAGAAATGTGTTCATATATAATCCATTTTCGTATCTCTCTTCTTGTACTTTCTCAAACCGGATGTCATTGTTTTTCAGCCAAAATTATTCCGTTTATATATATAAAAGTCAATATAATTACTTCACTGAAGATTTACCAAATCATTTCCTGCTGGATATGAAGCTTCCACATATCTCTTTTAGTCGTAAAAATCAGTTTATTCGCTCTAGTTGTAATCCAGACATTCAATTTTTATGATTTCGCTACATTACTTACGCGCCACATTCTATAATAATAAGAAAACAGATTTCACTCAAAAATTTCTCATTACAATATTAATGAAAGAATGATAAAATAGCATGGATAAATAGGGTATCATTTTCCCTGTAGACACTATATAAAATAGTCGCATTATCAACGATGTATCATAGGATTACATATAATTTACTAACTGCTGTAAAAACAAACCTTAGACATTGCTAGCATTATTTTGGAAAGCAGCGGTATTAACGACCGAGTTCCATTCCTTTTTTGATATATGCTGCAATGGTTGCTTCGAGAAAAGATTTTTCCAGTCGATATTTTGCGATAAAATGATAACCAATATATGTTCGGTCGACAAGATTGTGCAATATAAATAAAAAAGGTACACTTCTGAACTCGTGGGTAGACGCTCTGAATTATCATGTACAATAGCCTATTTTTTGGAATACGGAACTTAGAAAAGTTTTGAAAAAGATGTTTCAGAGCGTTTACTCGTGGTTGGATCCTTTTTTGGCCTCGCAGATTTGGAAAACCGCTTTTTGCAACATGTTGACACATTCGAAAGTTCTTTGTCGCTCACGAAATCTTTTCAGCAGGTTTAGCAGTGTAACTTTTTTATTTACAGTGCAAACACTCGTTTTCTTCCGCTTAGGATATTGGCTACTTAAAAAAGGTACATATACTCACCATTACTAGAATGCAAGCTGAAACGAATGAAACTAAAAGGCACATGTGAAGAAAAAGAATACAGTAGCTGTAAGATAGAGAGCTGTATTTACGTGTGTATCTGTGCATGACTATTTAACTAGTATGTACGTTAACGACCGATACGTCATATAAATATAATATTTTTCGTTTCTATTCACTTCCTTTCGGCTATTGGTAAGATACTGTATGTATATGATATTGAAACTAGCTAGGTATTGGCATTTATCTAATGAATAAAACTGACCAAGTTCCATTAATAAACTTTTGTGATCGTATTGATAACAATAAGCTTACCTAAATAAACTATTTCACATCATTTACTAGCGTTCTGTTTAAAACACCAACAGTTCACAATTTGATTATCTTAATACTGCGTTCTAGAAAATTTATTTTACAGAATCCCAAAAGTTTCATATTTATGCATCAATGATCTGAATAGAAATTCAAACAATGAAAACATTTCGTAGTTTCAAGCATTTCTTTAAGCTTTTCTCTTGCTTTTTTTTTCAATAAAAGGGCAAGTTTTTTTCTCGTTAACCTCAACTGTACCAACACCTACGAGGCTGTATTAGCTTCATATTCAATACCATACAATACCTGACTTCATGTCCAACCACTGAAACCGATATCGTGAAAGGTTCCACATCCATCACAAATACCATTTAAATCAAAAGAGACTATCATTTCGACGCTCATTTAACATTAGATCATGGAAAACAGATACACAGGAAATAATAAAGTGAAGCAACAATATTATCTATTCAACTCTAAGATTGAGAATTTGAACTTCATATAAATCAGTACAAAATTTCCTTTATTTTCTAACTTCGCTCTGATCATCTGCAAAATACAAAAGAATGGACACATCATGAGCCCACAGAGAGCAATACTCAATGAAACCCATGCTGTATTCGTACATAGCCCCGTCCTATGCGGAAAACCAAAGCTATTATCTGCTTCAATAATTTATTTCTCACGCATCTCATACATCACTATTCGGAATCGAATCATCTATTTACATCTCACCCGCTTCAATCATATCAATCAAAAGAACAAATCATTGTAAACGAAAATTTCATTTACTCTGGCAGTCCGACAGCATACCATGTGCATGGAAACAAGCGGTAATCATTCCACTGTTCAAGAAAGGGGATAATCAAGAATGCGAAAATTACGGTGGAATAAGCCTGCTTTCAATCGTGGGCAACGACTTCAGACAAGACACGAACAATTGGCGCGGGAAGAACAAGCTGGCTTTCGTCCGTGCAGAGGCTGCTGCGATCAAGTATTCACACTACGACAATTGCTTGAAGAACATATTCGTTGTGGCAAGAGACTAGTTGCTGTATTCATCGATTTCGCCACTGCATTTGACAGTGTTCACCGACCGGCACTATGGAGATCACTTGTTGCTGAGGGTGTGCCTGACAAGATCGTACATTTACTACAACAGTTGTACGAAGGGACGAAAAGCTGCATTCGTGTAAATGGAAAAAAAATCTGAAGAATTTTCGGTACATACAGGTGTTCGTCAAGGCTGTGTCGCCTCACCACTGCTCTTCAATATAGTTGTTGACGCAGTCATGAGAAAAGTCTTTAAAAATCGACATGGTGTACAATTTGGTGATAACGAATTCATTACAGATCTAATGTTCGCTGATGACAGCGTAGTCTTCGCAGAATCAGAATCAGAAGCTTCTGAAGTCATTCAAAACGTCAAAGATGCTGCGTATCCATACGGCTTGATCGTCAAACTCGACAATTTACAACTTGAACAAGTCCAGCAATACAAGTACCTGGGTTCAATAGTCGAAGCGCAAAGAATCGCTGCAACAGCAGACATCACCAAGCGAATCGGACAAGCTACAGCAGTGTTTGGAACATTGACTTGGTGCTTTTGGTGCAAAATGCGGATCTATAAATCACTCGTTCTCTCAGTGTTGCTGTATGGTGCGGAATCATGGACATTACTACAGAGCGACCTAAAGAAACTCGAAGTCTTTCAAATGCGCTGTCTACGTCGTATCTTGAGTATCTCAATTCGAGATAAAGTAAGAAATGAAACCATCAGGAAGTGGTATTGCGATCAACCTAGTATATCCGATGAAATTCAAAAGCGACGAATGCGTTGGTTTGGCCATATCAGAGATGACCTCGAAAAACACAGGCTTAGTCCAGTGGAACCAAAAGAACAAGCACTGGACAAACAACAATGGAAGGTCATTACACACAAAGTCATCAATGGCATAGTAGCACCTACAGCAGCGTACTGGTTGCGCGGGCGACCTCCACCAGTCGTGCGCTAAGGGACATCAAGTTCAAGCTCTTTCATGTAGTCGTTCATTATATCCTCAACGTTTCCTTTTTAATTGTTGAAAAGTATTTTCTCTTATTCAAAACAAAGCTCTCTAGTAAAAGTTAAAAAAGCAATAATCGATTTAACACACATCGATCTATTCAGTCGAGGATAATGCGAGTCACTCTCGACGAACGTTATTTATTTCTTAGTTTATAATAATACGCTGAACAAGACCAACCGATCCAGGTGATGGCGCTCCCAAATCATCAAATACAGTAATTAAATTATTTTTCGGCATAACCCAATCTGGTGGAATATGATAATATCGTTGCGTTGGCTCGACACAACCAGTTTGCGTTTGTGTACACCAGCCCGGTGTTGTCTGACAGACAGCTTGAATTAACCAATAGAGACCAATGTCATTTCCATTAATAAATATATGTCCACGATTCAGACCTTGAGCATCAAGTAATATTGGATTTGTATTGGTATCTTCTCGTATAAGATGATCAAGATCAAATCGTGCTTGAAACCATGTTATTGTTTTATTAATACTTTTAGTCCAATCACTATTCCATGGAACTTCTACTGAACCTTTTTCCGTGAAAATTTGCAAATTTTCTCCCACTAAACCTTTTTGATGTTGCCAGAAATTAGTTTCGGTTTGATTATCGACTAGTAATTGCCCATCAAGCCATACGTTACCAACGATTCCTTTATAATCCAAATTATATGCTGGTACACCGCTGTGTAGTCCAAGCGAAATCGAAAGAATTTCGAGTAAATGCTGCTGATTTATGGTGAAATTTGAAAGATCTAAAAGGATTTTTGCGTCAATATAGTCTAGTCCTGCTTCATGATTATTGAATTCAGCTAAATATTTTCCATCCATAAAAATTAATAGTGCATTTCCTTGACGTGTTTGTACTTGAAGTAAGATTTGTGAAGATGTGTGATTTAATGTTACATTCCGACGATACCATAGATAAATAGTTTCATCTTCAGTTATTATAAGTTGTTCAATCGGTTTTGGAGAAGATACAAATGGTAAGCTCGATACAGTCGGTTCAGACCACGTTCGCCATTCAAGTGGACCAGCAACAATAGGAACTATTTCTGTATTGTTACTATTAATATCACTATAATTTGCACTGTCATACAATATAATCATATTATCGTCATAGATACGAACTGATTTAGCAGATACTGTGATATTTTGATTTCGATAGAGTACACTAATTGGGTTCTGAAATTGATTGACTACAAAATACATGGATGGTGGATATGAGTAAACGAATTGCTGAGTACCATTAGCCCATGCCATGCCATTCCAGTAAGGTAACATAGTACGATTTGGATTTTGACTTAATAGAACTTCAGCACGATCGGCAATTAAATGTTGTAGACGACTCAATTGAGTATATTTCGGTTCATTTGGTGTACCATCAGAATGTAAACACACATCGTCAGCATATTTTGTTGCAATAGCTGAGGCCGCTGTGCGTCCATAATTGTTTCCTCCATGCCACATGTAATAGGCATGATAAGCACCACCGCCAGCAAACCATCCAGCAACTGCATTAGCAATATCGGCTGTTGTGCGTACATTCATTGGGTCTCCCCAATATTGAAGCCATCCTTAATCCTCAGTAAATAACATCGGTTGACCAGGATAAGTATATGGATGACGATCAATCCATCCATCATCTAAACAGTTGCATGAATTGCATGTTTCGATTGTCGAATTCGCTGCATAACCATTACACATAATCCAAATAATTTCTGTTGATGCAAGTTCATTTCTCACTAAATCACCACACCATTTCACATAATCAAAATCAGGCGTACCGTATTCATTTTCAATTTGAGCAAGGATAATAGGACCACCATTTTTAGCAAGATAAGGTGTTATATAATCGATCAGATTCAAAATGAATCGACGCATTATATTTTTCCATGGATCATTATTTGAACGAATTGATATATTTGGTATTTGATTGATCCATACTGGCATTTCACCATAATTCCATTCAGCGCATATATACGGACCTATGCGTAGATTCACAAATAAACCAGTAGTAGCAGCTTCTTCAAGAAAACGACTTAGATTGGCACGACCACTAAAGTCAAGTACACCTTGTTTGTATTCGTGTATATTCCAAAAAACATAAGTTTGAATCGTATTAAGACCTTGATTTTTAGCCATTTTCATTATATAAGGCCACATGCCTGGTGTTGAACGAGAATAATGTATAGCACCCGATATAAGCATCGTTCGAACATTATTTATCGTTATCGCCATCTTGAGGGTGTGTGGGTGTGGGTGTGGGTGAGGGTGTGGTGTAGATAGAGGATGTCATGACTATAGTTTTGTCCTTTCTCAAGGGACGTTCATCAGGTAGTTTATGATAGGAGTCATGATCTGAATGGAGTTCTAGAAGAGGTAGTATTATGAGTCGCTTTTATCGTAGTGCAGTGAAGAATGATGAAGTGAAGTTTTTTATTATGTTGTTTATCGTGACAAAAGGGAACTACGCAAAGGAGAAATGTACATCGGGGTTGTAAAGTTTCAATCGGTTGTTTGAAAAAGTGGTGATGGTTGCTTTGGTTGGCTGTTTATTTGTTTTGACGATTATCGGTGGTGATAGCTAGAACGTCTTGGCTTTACACGCGCTCGTAGTAGTATGGAGACTAAAATAGAAGATTGAAGGAAAAGAGGATTTATTTGGCGAAAAGTGAGATCGGTTTAGATCCCTTAGTACCTACGACTACGAGGTGTGGGTTGTCCACTGTGAGGTACTGGAGCAGACTTCGGTCTGTTGGCTGATGAATTAGCGGTGACAGATAAATTGTATCTGGTTCTTCTTTCTGCAGCTCTAAGGTGGTGATTGATTGTGATTATGAAAGGAAATGAGTGGTCGAACGGGGTACATGTACTCACGTTGGGTTTGACATGACTTTGATGTGTAATGTACTGGTCGATGGACTTTTCGGCAATGACCGAGTGAGTAAATGATAATAACTGTCGTCGAGAATACAATTAGTATAACGAGCAGAGCTATAATAAGAATAAGAATGAGAATGATGGGTGTTGAGTTGAAGTCGAGTGAATTGGTAGTTGATAGTTGACCTGTTTGATGCGAATGGACAGAAAACACAATGAATGATATTTCTTTGCGATCTCGCTGGAGCTCTGCATCGCCTGTGATACTCGATAGTAGATGATTGATTCGAACACATACTGGGGACTTGTGGTTGAGTAGTTGTGGTTGCTATCGTGTCAGGACTCATTATATTCGAACAAGGTTCAGTCATCTTAAGCAGTTGCTTTTCCAATTGATCACATGAAACACATTTGGGCCCAAGCCAGCAGTCTTGTGTATTTTTTTCCATAGAACTGGCACGGATTCGTTCCGAGCAATCGACCACTTGATGAAATATGCTTCATTTGAAAACTGACTTTGTTTTGGATAAACTTGGAAAAGTTGTTGAGAAATACTATCTGAAACGGACACCGTAAGAAACTAAGGTGAAGAATTCTTATATTGCTAAAACATCGTAAAAATTATGAGTGTTACGACTTCACGCGTGTCTCCAGAGAGGTTAAATCACTTGAGTGACTGAAACTTATTGTTTTACCATTGGAAGATGATCAGAAACGCCAAGATTGTTGAATAATCGGAAAAGATATATTTCATTTCGCATTCGTACATATTCGAGAGATTCAAATATAATAACACCTAAATCTACTATACTGCACATCTCGGAATTCCTTACCTATTTGGAAAATTTGATGTATGACTGATTTGTGGTACGATTAAACGGTTCTGTATTGCTGAGATAGATCTGTTTATATCTGCAATAGACAAAGAAGCTATGGTTAAGTTTAGATAAATGCGTTTAAACACATAATAGGCTTGCAATTCTTTACGCTTTGCAGCGGAAGAGAACATAAAGGAGAAAACAGTATAGTATATAATAAAGTGAGTCATTGGAATGAACATATAAGCTAATAAACGATTTACTAGTAAAGACTAAAGTTCGTGGAAGTATGTCTGTTTATGGTAAAATCGACTGACTTGTTTCTGATCAGGTTCATTTTTGATCGACATATTCTTGACACATTTTGATAATAATCGAACGTTGGACAACGAATTAGATAATCCTGAATCTGGTATGTTGAATGTAACCCTTAGACCTCGCGGTTTTGGATTTGGATCTCGTGGTGTTGCTTTTAATGTTTTCGGCGATGGCACACTTGGAGTTCTTGTTATTACTGGAAGTGGATTTGCCAGTTGGTCCTTTTGAATTGTAGGTGACACAGTATAACTTATATAACCATTGGTTCGGATCATGTGTTTGTTAAGGTGTGATGGCACTAGTACACATCCACCTTCACTCATATTTTCTTTTGCTCATGTTCGTGTATGCATTCCTTTATTGTTTCCACACATATTCGTTTATGCATTCTTTTCCTTTCTTCATTCGTTTATACATTCGCGCTATCTTTTTTTCTATTCGGTGAGAAGATTTGTATTGTTTCGTGGAACGCGAATAAACAGTTTAGGTATATAGTCGAACTAGATCAAAGGATATACAATCCTAACACTCACCTTTGCTCTTGAACCGATATCCGTTAAATTTCATTTTGAAACAATTTGAAAGAGTTTCGCAAGCCTTTCATTGTTCAGTTCCGATACAACAGAGTTTCTTGCAGATACGAAAAACCTTTCTAAATCACAAAAGAAATGAAATAATAAAAAAGATAATTGATTTTGAGGTCAACACAATGTGGCATTTTTCCTTTTGTAAAGTTATGAGCGAATTTGCGACCAGTTTTCATACACTATGAAATCAATGTTTTCCGGATACACCAATATGTAATAGGAAGCCTATCGTTGGTTCTAGAAGATTACACAACCTTCTAGAGTACTTAGTACGTAAAAAACCAAATAAAGTATTCCTAAAATAATTTACCTACCTACATCTTCTTCGCATCTAATAAATAATCATAAGAAGAAGAAGAAGAAGAAGAAGATACAATAAACATTTTTAACGAAACTACGGGTTCATATACGCGTAGCTCTAGTTTTTCACTACTACGGGCTCTTCAAGCCCTGACATAGTTCATTTCGAAAAATCTTTGATTCCAAGTTGTTCATTCTAATTAAGTATAATTAGAGTTTTTTGTACAGTAGTTCTGATGAAGTCAAATCGAAAATTGACAGAAACTAGTCAATAAAGTACGCAAAACAAACAACTCTTTTTCTCTCTTCATCTCAAGGAAACGATTCTCAGATAGAATGTCGACTAACTCTTTTAAATAGGAACTAGTCAGCTGCTTCTCTCTTTCATATAGTTGATATAGATGAGTAACCCAGACGAAAGAAAAAACATAAAGCTCGGCCGCTAAGAGATCCTCCATACGATCAAAACATTTTGCAGGTTAATGTTCAAAAGAACTCGCTCGTTATAACTACGGTGGAATGTCATAACGTTTTGCTAATTTTGCTCAACTATCAACATTTAGACATATAGTCATACCTCCAACAGTAATATCATTGAAAAAAGCATGAATTTAATGGCGAACAAGTGATTGCATATATATTTTTTTGTTTAGATTAACATTAATCCAAAAGTATTGTTTTATTATGTATGCTTTTTTGTTTTCTAACAACTATTACTAAATTCAATCTAGGATCATATTTTGAGACATTACCAATTCGTTTAGTGTTGATTTAGTTTCAACAGATAATTCTATACGTAAATTGGTCTTTAACGTCAACATCCTTCTCTATTCCCACACGTACAAAGATTCAAAGATTTAATCTTATACATTAGAAGTCACCTAGTAATTCTTGAATATCCCAAATAAAGCCCTCTGACTTCTTTCTAAAAACTCCATCATTTCTAAAATTTAGATTTCGCAAGCCTGCCTCTGACTCAATCTTCCAATCGTGATATTGAAAGAAAATAATATGCACTTATATTCTTTTGAGAGGACAAAGAAGAGATTCATCCCTTTTCTTTTCCTTTCGCTCTTCACTAGTTTGAGGTATTTTTCCGTGGTAGGAAGTTGTGACGAAGGTTGTTCCGACGTATTCAAATCTATGACGCAATCTTCCAATCGTGATATCGAAAGAAAATAATATGCACCCATATTCTTATGAGAGGACAAAGAAGAGATTCATCCCTTTTCTTTTCCTTTCGCTCTTCACTAGTTTGAGGTATTTTTCCGTGGTAGGAAGTTGTGACGAAGGTTGTTCCGATGTATTCAAATCTTTGACTCAATCTTCGAATCGTGATATCGAAAGAAAATAATATGCACCCATATTCTTATGAGAGGACAAAGAAGAGATTCATCCCTTTTCTTTTCCTTTCGCTCTTCACTAGTTTGAGGTATTTTTTCGTGGTAGGAAGTTGTGACGAAGGTTGTTCCGACGTATTCAAATCTATGACTCAATCTTCCAATCGTGATATGGAAAGAAAATAAGTTACGCACGAGCGATCATAGTAGACGAATCTATATAAAATGGGCTTGTCCATTGCTTTTTACTTTTTTAAGAGAGGGGTATATCTATTTTGATGTTTTATCGTTGGTAGTCATTTGGTCGGTAGGAAGGTAGGTGAAAACTTGCTGTATGCAGCGAATCCATACTTTTTCAATAATATGACGCAACATCCTCAAGAAAATGAGCTGTGGGCTGTAGTTCGAATGTGCCTCTAATAGAACTGCTAGATATGCTATGCTTTTGATGCTGTTATATGTCATAGATAATGTTGCATCTAAATGCATGATTTATCAAATTTTGCTCATTCTGTAGGAGGCCATACAAGTCAATTAGATGAAGTTTTTGGATGTAGTTGATAGAAGTTGATAAATTTGACATGAACCTTGTCGTATTTCTTACATGAGAGCCTTTTGATTTCAGCGATATGTGCGAGTTTTTTTTTCATATGAATTGATTTTATGGCTTGCTAAAATAATCCAACTAACTGAATATAGGTGCAAAGATGTGGCTGATCAAGAACTTGACCTATACAGAGCTGATGAATTATATTTATATTGGAAGCTTTATTGTAACGTAACAATAGGGTTCTCGATACAGAAAGCTTCATCATAAGTGATGTGAGAAAGGACCATCGTGATAACTTAGTTTTAAGTCTCTACTCAGTGATCGTTAGTTCATTAATGTCATATGATCTTGTTCATGGGATCGTGTGCAGTACCGTTAAGATTGTAAGTTATATAGAGAAAATACTATAGAAGTCTTCTGCGTAGTTTTTGGTATCCTTTATATTCTTATTATTGCGGTTCGAATGGGTTTATCTTTAGAGGAAGTATTTTAATTTCTGTGTTTTCGAATATTCATTTTCGAAAAATCGCTTTGAATCACGGATGTTTTTACATTAACAGGATTTCTTGACACAGTACTTCACGTTCCTCCTTAATGAAAGCTAGAAATTGGTTCAGTGTCACATTCTGTAAAGACTTGCTCAAAAACAGGGTTGTGTGAGGAACAAAAATCTACTGGTTCATTATTTTATACATTCTTTCAGTTTCCACAACATTCTTGTCATAGTTTTCAACAAATATAAACACAAGATTTCAGAGTCGATGATCGAATATAACCTTTGCGCGCAGCTGTAAACAGAACCATACTTATATAAATGAGGATCACGGAGAAAATTATTGGTAGCGCTCGTTTCTGTTATCAACCATTACGACACTGAATGTATCGCGTACTACAATTAGTTTCACTGACGGTAGCTAGATTAAAATTGAAAGAGTGTATTTTTTGTCGACCTCTCTGCTATCACAAGATCGCCCAGTCTTCTGTAAAAAATCGTTACTGTTAATTTTTCTTATAACACTTTACTCCTGTGATTAAGTTCATATGGAGAAATTTATGCACTTGCGGAAAATATCGAAGATCACAAATTTCTGAAGGAAAGCTCATAGAAAGGTGAAATAGTGAATCGTCTAGAAAATGGACTATATTAGTGGAGATCACCAATTGGGTCGAATCAACTAATGTCTAATACCGATCCCACCTTCGATAGAAACGCTGACATACTTTCATAGGTAAGAGACATTTTTGCGATAAGGTTTTTTTACGAAAAGGAAATAGTAAATGAATTAGATAGGCAACCGGCTCACCTATTGATAAATGTTCGATATAGAAGCAAACTAACGGATGCGGCTGAATAAATGAACCTCTCTATATTTTGCGATCATCTCTCTTATAGCTCGACGTGAATACTTGAACTTTTCCCAAAAAATAGCCCATGAAATTCTCTACAGATTCTGAGGGAAAGTTCTTATAAAGAATCATCGTAAAAGTATACCAAATCAATCTTATAATGCCGTAAATCAGTCCACTTTCAAATATGCATCTTATAAAACTAACAATTTTATTTCTTCTAGATAGATAACTACAAAAATCTGCCTTGTTGTGTTTCTATTGTATTTTTAGACGCGCTTTTTTTACATAAAATTGAAAAGAAGCTGCTTGAATATAATTACGAGTGTCTATCGGTCAGTCTTCCTAAAACGTAAGAATGATCTATCGGCTCGTTAGGTTCTGAGTCTTCATCATTACAGCAACAAACTTTGTATCATCCTTTTCCCATCAAAATCAGAGAAGAAACATTTTACTTCAATTTTTTAACAAATCTGAATATGCAACAATTGCCTATTTTGTGTATCAATTCAAAACTACAAGGAACTGTAAAGTAATATCTTTTGAATGAAATTATCGGGAAACAGAGGTCACACTTTCCAGCTAAATTGGCAACATGTCGAAATGACGTTTGCATCTACTGATAGAGCATTTCACGGACTATCAATTGCCCTAGCAATCTTTTCTCCATGTGAAAGAGGGAGCTACATAGAATGGTAAATTTGAACGATAGTGCTTTGAACACTGAAAAAAGGTTTCCTAGACGTCCAAAGCTCCCAAATGTGTCAAAATGTTGAAAAAAGTGGTTTTCGAAAATCTGCGAAACCTTATGGTTCCGTATTTTCTGGCGAACCTTTATTGGGGCCGTGCGAAACTTAAAAATGTTTCGAGACAACGGTTCGGAGCGTTTTTTATGAGTTTGGTAGAATACCTTTTTTTTCTAGTGAAAGTGGACTAATTCAGGGCATGGGAAGATTGACTCAGTATAATTTTAAGATGATTCTTTAGAAGAACTCTTTCTCTCAGGATTTGTAGAGAATTTCACGGGCTCTCTATTGAGAAAAACTCAAGTATTCACGCTGAACTATAAGAGAGATATTCGCAAAATACAGAGAAGCTCATTTGTTCTGCTGCATCCGTTATTCAGTCGATTATTCGTCAATAAAGGTTTCATGCTTGTCTCAAACATCAATAGTAGAGCTTTCCGAACACCAGCAATCTGTCAACATCGATACAAGACTCATGAATAAGACGCGAAATTTGGATTGAAATGGAATTTTTTAAATATTCGCAAGATTTACATTGTAATAGTCTTGTCGAGGTCGACTGAACCTGATAAAAAGACAAATGAAGTAACTGTGAAAAATCTTACAGTCCTATAACTGGTTACATTTAATAGACATACCGTACCCTGCGAGTCTCCAGCTGTTAGAAATAGATAGACATAGTCACTTTATATATAAAAATAAGAAATTAGATCGAGATTAAGAATTAAAGGATTAAATATAGAAATACCAGATAGAGACACTCTCCAGAAAGTAGATAGAAATATTATGAAATTAAGGATCAGACGTCAAACATAACCATAGTTAATCAAAATAAATAATGAGCGATATATATGAGCTTAGTAATGCTATATTGAACGTTGTATAAAACTTAATATTTATCCTATTCGCAGTATAGATGTATAGCTTTTGTAGATATTTGGTTATCATCATAGTCATTGTGGACAAAGTTAGAGTCAAATGGCGGAAAGAAGCAGGTATAAATATATGATCATTGGCCTTCAATTATCAATTTTCTTTGCATTTTTCTACTTTTCCATAGGTTATCAATAGCATGTGCATCGGTTATTGCCATATTTTCCATACCTGCTGTATTGTGCATCATTGCTACAGTTATTGTGCTTTCGCTGATACCTATTTATTTGCCTTCAGGAGGAAAAAGCTCAACTAGCAATCTTGATAGTACATAGATTATAATTCTAACTAATATTCTTATTTCGATATTTTATTTTTAAGATAGAGAAACAATTGGCACAAGGTTTGGCACGAATATTGCTAATGGCGAAACATATTCTATAATTAACTATGATTCAATTGCTGCGCAGGTAAGCTTATATATTTTCTTGATGTTAGCGTAAGACATGAATGTCTGAATTTTATAGGTCAATGCAAAAATGAGCTATCCAGCAGGTACACTTGGTGTTATAGCGGCCGCCTTCATTGACACTGTTAACTCAAAAAATAAAATCAGAAAGAAGCGGCAAATCAGGTCAGTTTCACAGGATTTATTTTTGATGGTCAAAACTGTTCGTTTTACGCATACTTTTAGTGATGGAGGATCATGTGTCAGTCCTCTTGGCCAATCGACGAACGGTGACCTGCTCGGCTTAGGCTTCATAGTTAGAAAATGTCCACGAAACACATGCAGTACTAATGTTTGCATTAAAAAATGTGTAGCGGCTATAAAAGCCACAATGTTAGTAAAACTCGCATCAAGTCCTTTCCAGTTTGAACTAGAGACGACTAATGGCAAAATATCAGTTATAATCCAGCTTTGTTCGTTTGAAGATAATATTTCAAGTAAGACACTCGAATCGAAACAAATATCACAAGAATGTTAAGTTTTGATTTTTTTTTCAAAAGAATATGGGCGTAGGCGAGGATTCAATCACGACTGAATCCTCACCCTCACATATTCATACACTGAAAAAAAAAAGATATTCTACCAAACCAATCAAAAAGGTTTCGTAGGTGTCGAAAGCTTTCAAATGTGTCGACATGTTCAAAAAAAATGCTTTTACCTTTTTTTTCATTGTATTCTCATTCACATCCACACTCGAACTACTAAAACAAACTTTTAACATGATGGTATTATAGGTATAAACGCAACTACTACAACAATAACAACAGCAGTGCCGATAACCAAAACAACAACGAATCTTCCTACTACTACGACGACTGGTAAACGAGTTATGAAGTTTTTTTGTCTAACCCGCATCTTTTTCAACCTTTTACGTGAACTGCTATAGAGATCTTTGTCTAGATGGAACATTCCGATGGGAACTTGCAGACATTCAGCGAAAGCAGCTTGCTGTCCGAAAAATTTTTGAATTTTTTCTGAGATACCTAGTCAGAATACTGCTTCCGCATTCTTTCAATTGGATGCCAAAGAGTGAAACAAACTCGATTTTGCTGATTTGAGTTCGGTTTACTCTAGTAGTTTGGTTCCAACTTATCATAGCAGATATAAAAACGAAAAAATTGCTTTAGACTGAACACATTTTCCACTGTAAGTGTATTAGAGTTACGTGATAAAATCAGTTGAGTTCAGAATTAAAAGAATGTTTTCAGTATGAATACACAAGCAAATGCAGTTTTCTTTTCATGTATGAACTAACGTTACACTAGCATCGGCAATGAAAGAGTTTAAAATAGAAAACATTAAAAACAATACTCATATCAATGTGCACTATGTTTATAACGTAGCCAGTAAAAGACTTGATTCAGTTTTTTTGATAGTTTCACGTAGTTTACTTTGTTTCTAAAAAAACATAAGAAATTTTATATTCTGTACAAAATTCGACACAATTAGAGAAGTCATGTAACTAAACTTTTGCACACTGATATTCAACAATAACGAGCCCAATATTTATCGAAAATACTTTAGATAGAAGATATCTCTGTTATTTCTTTGTACAAAACACCCACACTCCGACTTTGACAACTTTGCAACTACCAAAGATAATCTTTGTTTCATTATAGACAAATGCATATTTCATTCTCCACTGGTTTATCCAATCAACGGTGGATCCTTCCCACGCTCTGTAACAGTTGATGATATGGATGGTGACGGTAAACCTGACATTATTGTCACGAATACGGCTTTGGATAATGCCACTGTGTTGTTTAATAAAGGCAGTAATATGTTTATCATGCAACCAAATAAAGCAACTGATAATGGAGCATCGCCGTATTTTGTGGCAACAGGCGATATTAATGGTGATAAAAAACCTGATATTGCTGTTGCAAACTATGATGGAGATAATATCGGTATCCTCATTAATAAAGGTGATGGTACATTTTTTTCTCAGGCAATCTATTCAATGAGCATTGGATCTTCTCCACGTTTTGTGACGCTAATCGATGCTAATGGTGACAGTAAATTAGACATTGTTGTCGCAAATAGTGGCGCAGATAACATAGGAATTTTCATTAATAAAGGAGATGGCACATATTTTCCTCAAGTAACCTATTCAATGGGTACTGGATCATCTCCACGCTCTGTATCTACTGGCGATGTCAATGGTGATAACATTCCTGACATTGTTGTCGCTAACTTTGACGGAAATAATGTCGTTGTTCTTTTCAATCAAGGCAATGGTGCATTTCTCATCCAAGGGACCTATTCAACAAACGTTGGATCTTCTCCTAACTCTGTGATAATAGTAGATGTTGATGGTAATAAGAAGTCTGATATTATTGTCGCGAACAGTGGTGGAGATAATATTGGCGTTTTAATTAATAAAGGTGACGGAACATTTCACGCTCAAAAGACGTATTCGACTGGTAAGGGAACTTCGCCGATGTCTCTTGTATCAGCTGATATTAATGGTGATACTAAAAATGATATTATTGTTGCAAATAGTGGCAAAGATAATGTTGGTATCCTTCTCAATAATGGCGATGGATCCTTTTTTAGTAAGACAACATATTCGACTGGTACTGGTTCATATCCGATCTGTGTGACCGCTGCTGATATGAATGCTGACAGTAAGCCTGACATTATCGTCGCAAACTATGGCTTGGATAACGTTAACGTTATTTTAGCGTGTTGAAGGATTTATATGAACTGAACTATCTTTTTCGAAACATTATTTCAAGCTTATCTAATTTTCTGGTACTTTTGCTTATTAAAAATAAATTTTCTCTATTCCATGAAGGAGATGTTTTATTGCGTGTGAAATCTTGTAATATACGGGTGCCAAAAGCGGTTCTTTCAGCATTCATACTCGTACCAAAGAGAACAAAAAATTGAAAAGAAATATGATGATAGCAAACTTTAAAATGAATCAGAAATGTTTGTTCTAATTTTATGACAAGGTGTACCAAAAAGTCGTTCAATTAAATCAGACATAGAAAATGACTCATGCGTGTTGCACGGACAATATTCGATTTTATCATCAATCAAATGATAACCTTAGTTACAGAAGTGATCGTTTATTTAACTTGAAAATGGAAATTGCTGAGATAATGCTACGTAATCCGTATGCTAGGGAGCTTAAAATCTTGCAAATGCCATCAAAAGAACGTCAATATTTACAATCTGGTGATGAAGCGGATTATCTTAAGTCACATAGAAAAAGAAAAAGAGAAATTGATTCCAATAGTTCCAGAACACTGATTTGATTTGATGGAATCGAATATTGGTCTCAAGTTGAAGAGAGATTACGTCTTCGATGGAAAAATAAATATTTTATCATGAAAAAGAATTTCTATTGTTTGAAATGTCAGGCCTATCTGTATCTTGATGCATCTCATAATAATTTTCAAAGCTTTTATTGAGAAACCAAATGAACGTGTACATGATATATTGGTCTAATGAATTTCTTTTTTTATTATAGCAAAATTCAGCTGATCATATACTCTTCTAAAAATATTGTTTT